CATCTTAACGAAAGTGGAATTTTTATTCGAAACTGTCTTCGTGCCGCGGAATTAATAGAAATAGAATTGTATTGTTAAAAAAATTCTATTGGACATCTTAATGAAAGAATTTTCATTTAATTGAGCCATTGACTCCAACGCTAACATATCATAAAAGAGATTGTATTGTGGGACGAATACTTTGTTCAATTTTTATTTCGAAACAAATCAATTTAAATTTTATGGGGGGAAAGGCTAGAGATTGAATTGAATTGGGTTCAATTAAAAAATTGCTAGATATCACTATATTTATTTTACACGTTTATTTTTAGTTTTTAATCAACCAACAAATAAATTGAATGCGAATCATTTCACCGAATGGATAAAATTATACACAAAATATATTAAATTTTTCCTTTTAATAATTTTCAGGCAAAAAAAGAATTTCGATTTGAAATTTCGATCTATCCTCCCTTAAATGTATAAAAAATTCCAAAAAAAAAAGATTCTCCTGACGTTTCGATACAAAACCCATACACACTTCTCTTCTATGGAACACGTGTCAATTTCATAATCAAATTAAACCCGTAAATTGTCCAGTTGTCTTGGTAATCATTGTCATTCGGTCACCGTGCTAATGGATCAAGCGTCAATAATGTCGCCGAAACGTCGACAATTCGTTGTAAACCGAACAAACGTCAACGAGATCCACGACAAACGGCATCTATTACACGTCGAACACGTAGCGCTAATTAAAATCGGTCTTCATCGAATTAACGAAACGTCGAGATCAACGATTAACTAAATCTTCGATCTTTTCGATCTTCAAAATCTTCCAATTTTCGATTCAATCACGAAACTAAGTTAATACATGAGAATTTTCACTTGTTCAACTTCCATAAGCTTAATTTTTCTTTTTTTTTTATCGCGGAAAAGTGGCGAACACTTTTTATCAACGGCGGGATTCTAATTAATCGTCGCTTGCAAAAGGTCGGAATCACGGAATCCCGACCGGTTGGATGACCTCGTTGGAACGTACCTCGTGGAAATTAACCCCGTCGTTGTTCCACGTTTCAATTGGGTGGCTCTCGATGGATCGCCAGAGGGGATCGTGTGCAAGGATACACGAATCCCTGTGTACGCGTGAAATAATGATTATTTAGTTTGATTCTTGAAGATACGACGAGTTGAAGAGAAAAATTTTGGAAAGTGGAATATATGATGGTTGTGCAAGTTTAGATTTTTTTCATCAACACAGCAGGACATTGTGCACTTTGAATATCTTTTGCTCCCCTTTTATATATTATATTGTAGATATATTTTTATACATTTAGATTCATGATACGAATGCATAAACTTAAGCAATTTGGTGATAATGAATATAATTAGGTAAAAGAAAAATTTGAAATAAATAATTGACAAATTGAATTATTTTTCGTATTTGGTCGTAAAAAATCATTGATATTTACAATTGAAAAAATTATTAACAAAAAATTGCAGAAGAATTACATATTATATCCCCTATTTCTATCCTATCTAATATTCTAAACAAATTTTAACAAATAATTCATAATAATTTACAAAGAAGAAATACTTTTACGATATCGCGGAATAGTAATCCCTAGCTATCGATAGTTATTCCATATTCTCATTGATATTGAGAAACATCCCGTTAGTCTAGAAATGTGTCAGTTTACCCTCTAATAATAAATAGGCAAAAGAGACGAAGAGTACAAGCTGAAGAAGAGAGAGAGAGAGAAGAAGAGAAGGAGGAGGAGGAGGATAAACGATGAAAGCAAGCTTATCACGGGCGCGAGGCTCATACACGAAGCCTCCACCCCTTCATTTAGGGTCGTTTTGAGTTATAACAACAGTTGGATATCACATGTCACGCACGAGAAAGAGAGAGAGAGAGAAAAAGGGCGCAAAATCCACCCATGCTTGCCTGTAATTGCTAACAAATAACAATCGTGAGTGATTATCAAACCTTTAATTACGAGGCTCGTGAAAAATTGAAAGGGATTGAGAAGGGTGTTGCTGATTTCACCACCCTCGTTTCCACTCCGTGTGTTTATGACTCTAAAGCGCGACGCTTGATTTCACGTTTGCGTTTCAATTTTCCAACTGCTTAAAAATTCATCGTGCAGACATTCGACGTACGTGGATGTTGAACGATTTCCACTCGAACGATTCGTCTCGTTTTATCCCACTTGTGTATTCAATTAACGATCGTCAATGAGAATACAATTTTTACAATTTTCTTTTTTTTTTTCTTTCATTGATATCATATTTAATTTGTATCGTATCGCTGTGTGGATATCTGTATATTAATAGGCTTGAACACGTTTTATTTCAATTAATTTTAACATTAAATTTAATTTCGATTCAATTTGATTCCGTTTAAATAAACGATTGTAATACAATTTTTCGGTACGAAATTGTATTTTAAATGAAATTTTATATATTCTGGATTTTTAGAATTTATTTGAAAAATTATTTTACTAAATTTTTATTCGGCTATGGGAATGTTAAATTGGTAAATTAAATAATATGTAATAATTGCATATTTAAATAAATGAGTATAGAAATATTTAAAATATTAATATTAAATAAAATGAAGCAAATTAAAGTAAAAATTAATTCGATATTTTACTTTATATAACGTGCAATGTATCTATTAATCGTATTTGCATTTATATTATTTAAATTTTCAACAACGTTAAATTATTTTTCCAATTTTTTCTCATCAATATTTTCAATTCAATTTGCTATTTCATATTATTGCAGGTATCTAGATATTTTGTTAAATAATTTTATAATATTACAAATGATGTATGCAAAATAAATTTTTAATCATAAAATATACAATAATTAATTATAAACACAGATTAATTTTCCACAGTCGTTTTAGAACTTCAAATGAACTACGAATTCCTACAAATTCCATTGTAAATAATTCTTATTACTATTCACGAACAATATCTTATATAATTATACTTAACTTAATAATTCCAAGATGTGATAACTTCTCCTCAACTTCTCCCAATTTCCCTCAGAATTTCGATCACTTTCATCCCCATCCTCCATGATCGATAGCAACATCGAACAACCCTCGAAAAGCATACTGCCACCCATACAAGAATAATTCTAGCGCTCCGATTATGAAATTATAAAATTCCACCTAAATATTGTGCATCTAATCAGTATATCCGTGGCTCTATAAATAGTTCATTATGGAACTTCATCTTATATTCGGGTCAACGAGCACCCCCTGGAAATAAGCTCGCCGCGTCTAATTTATCCAAATAAATTATTTATCCATCCATGCATCGCGTTTCGTATAACATTATTCAAAGACGATCGTGGAGGGAAATATAAATAACAAAATTCATATTCGTTCTTCGGAATTATTGATACATTTATTTTGCAATCTGTTTTGCATTCCATATATCTAAATTTCTATTTTATTAATTTTATAAAAGATAATTAAAATCTATAAATATATTTGACCAATTTAGAGAGAATATAAATTTTTTTTTTATATTGTATCTATCATATATTCTCTCCTTGAATTTTTACTTTTCACTCTTATTTCAATTCAAAAACTAAAATTCATAAATGTTATTTAATTAAGAGTGCACTGTTTTGATATTGTATTTTTTTCCGGATTGAGAAATCGATCGAGGGAAAAGAAAGGCAATCTAATCAACGAGGATTTTCAAGAACAGAATTTCTCTCTCTTTCTCTCTTCGCTCGAAACGGAGAACTACGTTAGCACGTAGCAGCACAGAATGAAGGCGTTTCGTTTGTCTCGTTAGAACTGAATTTTCACAGACAGAATTTTCCACTGCGAATTTTCGCTCTCGTTATCGTTGCTCAAAACAGTCAAGGAATCTCACTGTCTGGAGAATGAAGCATTAAGTTCCAGAATTCGAGCTGAACGTCGGTGATGAAGGAAGAAAACGCGACAATTGAATGAATTTGTTGTAGAGGGTGAAGGAACTTGTGTATGGATAAATTTTTGTTGAATATGTATTATTTGTTGTTGAAAGAAGAGAATTGTTTATGCGTAAAATTTTGTTTAATTTGACTGTGTTGTGATGAAAAATAAAATTGAAATTGCGAAAATGGTTAATATATATTTTAATTACTTGTTGAAAAGTTAGAATACTTGACATTTGATTCTGTTCCAGTCTCCAAATATTATTTTTCTTTATTAAATAAAAATCATGAAATGAAAACTGGTAAATATTGTCTACGATTCTTTTTTATTATTTTCAAACTTTCAGAATTTATAAAAAAGAAATGATCCAATGGATGCAACAAGGATCAAACAAATTAATATGTAATAGAAATATGAAATAGATAATCTTATCAAACTGATTTACATTCGTTTATTCTGAAAGACCACTTGCTATTGCAAAATAGTCGTAATTTTTATTTCACCCTAGTCTTATTTTATTTAAAAAAAGAAATTAAAATTATAAAAGAGATTAAAGAGATCTTCTAAAATTCAGACAAATATAATTTTATTTAGAAATTGAAATTTTATTTCCACGAAATATCTCCCTTTACAATCCGTTAGATATAGATGTTAAATCGGTTTTCTGTCCATTCATGAATAAGCAGCATAAATCGAGGCGTGCATTAGAAAAAGGAAAAGAAAAAAAAGGAAAGGAGAGAGGAAAATTTCCCCTCGATTTTGTCCCAGTGCGAATTGATCTAAGCAATAGTTTCCCGGGGAATTTCTGTCTCGCCACTGTCGAACCCAGATATTTATGGATATGGCGCGCATACCTCGCGGAAACCTTTTCATTGACGTTTCCCTCCCCTTTCCACGGAAATAAAGCATGTCGCGACACATATTTCGCGTTCTTTCAAAGCGTTCACACTTAGCAACTTGGCAAGTATAATATTATCGTTTAAAATGAACGTATTTGACAGTTTTATCGAATGAAATACACTCGAAGGATTCGAAGAAACATCGGTTATTGTGATCGGAAAGAAAAAGGAAAAGAAATAAGTGAAATGAAATTTTTTAAAATTTCGTTTTCAATGCGGAAATTACTAAATAAGTATAAATTGTATTTGTAATTGAAATATGATATATTTTTAAATTATATTGTGTTAATTTACAAAGTATTATAATAAGTTGCAATTAAAATATAAAATAAAAAATGATCAGAATACCTTTTTAAATCTTTTTAATTTTGATATTTGAATAGATTGGAAAAATATCTTAATTGCAAGAAATGTAAAATGATCATAAATAAATTTCTTTCTTTAAAAAAGAAAAAAAAAAGAAGAAGAAAAAAATCTCTCAATCGTTTTAAAATATGGATAAAGTTCTTCGTGAAATAAATGAAATTAAATTTTGCTTTCTTTTTTTTAGAAATATGCAAGAGGTGTTCAACATTTTTTATATAATAAAAGAGATAAATTGAATGTAATTAGATACAAAAGTTTATTAACCCATAATTAAGCAATTTCTCGTAAATGTAAAATGAATGTACTAATTTAAACACTAATTTAAATTCCAATACTTTCTTCAATACGAAGTTCTTCAACGAAATTTGCGATTCTATTATCCGCTTACAGTTTCTAAACTAATTAATCAGATAATTCTTACTACAATTCAGGCAAACATTGTTTTCTAGTTTTGTTTTGCATTAAAATAAAAAGTAGGAAAAATAAATACTATTAAATATCAGATTAAAAGCTTTTTATATAACGTTCATTTAAAATTATATTAAATAAATCCTTTTATAAATCTGGATAATCCGAAAAGTATTTTATACCTGCATTCATTACGCATTCAACTTAAAAATATAAAAATAATTTTAAATATTTCATTCAGGAAACAAATAATTTGTAATCTTATAATTCTCATTATAATTGACTTCTGTATTCATTTTTAATTAATTGACTTCAATAATGAATACAACAAAATTAAAATAATCATCTTTCAATATCTTAAATAACTTTAAACAAATTCAAAATTACATTGTAATAAAAAATTTACGCATTCAACATAATATTATCATTCCACGTATTTCAATAGATTTTTACTAAAAGTTTTCAAACTTTTATACCTCAGAACTGAAAGCGAACATAAAAAATCTATTCCTAGAAACTCAAACTAAAGATCGAGATATTGAATCACTGAAATTCCACAGAATATTTTTACAAAAAAAATTCTCATCTTAAAATTATAACGTCAACCAAATCTCATCAAACACGATTTTAAAACAATCTTAAAATAATCTACAAAAAAAACTCGAAAAAATTAATAAGAAAGGAACATAGAAAATAATCGAATTAAAATCACATACTTCCAAAATCGAATAACAGAAGAAAATAAAAGGACAATCATCATTGCCAATAACTTCGCTTTCCCTCTTTCCACCATCACGTCTTCGTACGATCTTCATCCGAAGGGAAAGGTCGCACGAGCGAAGTAATACGGCCATTACTTTCCAGCTGGCGATATTCTGGCCAACTCGTATTCGGTATTCGACGACCGTAAAGCCCATCGATATTCGCTCTACAAGGCAGACCGTGTGTAATAACATATTACACGCCGGGGTCAATCACAGTTTCGAAAATACAGGAATAAACCTGGCAACGGCCCAAAAACCCTCCACGCTCTCTCCGAGCGTGGCCGATGCGCGCCACGTAAAAATGAAAACTGCCGTATCAGATAACCACGTCCTTATGTACCATCGTATCAATTTAGCCGCAATTGCAGACCACTCGAATGTTTGTTCTGTAATCGCGCCGCTCCGTTCAATTGTATCGAAGGGAGGGCAAAAATTCACCCCCTCGTCAGAGGGGTTCTCCAATTATTCGACCCAATTATTCGGCTGGCACGATTCGTTAGTTATTCGAATATAAATATGTTCGCCTCAGTTGTTAGATTTTATGTTTTAATATTCGACATGGGATAATTAGGGAGGAGAGACTAAGGTTAGGAGGAGATCGATCTTCGATGTGGGATTGTTCTTATTTTTGTCGCGATATTCTGGTAAGATTTCGTAATATTTAACGTGAACAGGGTATAGAAGTATAGCATCGATTTAAACGAAATTTTATCGAGTGATTGTTTATTGAAGCAATGAGAAAGTATGATAAGAATTTTCTTAAGCCAGTCTTGGTTACTATTTTTTCTTTTTTTATTTTAAAGAAGAATTTGATCTTTATTTAAATGTTTATAAATTGTAAAATCTATTCAATATTCCCTTGTTAGTTGAAGTAATATTGGATATGGAAGGAAGCAAAAAAAAAATGAGGAGAAACCTTACGGTTGTGCGTGCCGTTCACCAAGCTGACCTCTTAATTCTTCAACATTATTTTGCTCCTTTTTTTTGTTCCATATAGAGATCACGATCCCACAGTTATTTAATACTGTACAAGGGATCCCATGTAATGGTAGGCAAAATATATGTCCTTCGTGACGGCAAAAAACATTTAATATATATATCTACGAATTTAATATATACAAAGAATGATACACATAAAGTTTTGAAACGTATTCTTGTTTAATTTGTTTCAATTTTTCAGGTAATCTTGATAATAATCCATACATTACGATAATTTAAAAATTCTTCCCTTGCTGATGGCTGGTTAAATATTTATCATTCTCGAACAATTGAAATTCATGACATTTGAACGTGGAATAATTTCATAAAAGGGAGCAAGGGTTATTTCACAAGCGAATTATTTAAAATCTTATCTACGGTTGGAGGCGTTTTCGGTTGGTGGAATAAGAAAAATGAGGGAGGATGCAGCCTTATGTTCGTGACAGCAAGTACGTAAATACTTTGGAACAATTAATTCTTCTGTCATTTCCCACTATAAATTATCTCAGTGAAATTTTACCAGAATTCTTCCTCTCCAAAACTGGTTCAATTCTATGATTGAACAATGAAAATTTTTCTTCCATCATCTTTGAATTATAATATCATTGAACTCGAATTAGAATTAATGGGGATGCTTAATTAGATGAATAAATACATATTTTTTTATCGAACAAAAGATTTAAATATAATTTTCATTTTGCCAAAATTTCAATCAAATTATAACATTCAATGCGTTCCAATAACTTGCTTAATCATCCATCATCCCGCGAAATTGAAACAAATAAATAACAAGCAACATAAAGTCAATATTAGTATACCGTGTATCGATGCAATTTAATAAACCCTTTGAAAAAAAAAAAAAGAAAAACAAAAAGTGAAAAGTCATTGTATACAATGGATCAATATTGTTTTATTCAATTTTATTCAAACAAATTTCATTTCAAACAAAAGATTTATCCAAAGTTGATAAAATTTTTATAAAATAAACGGGTGAAATCCGTTCGTATAATTTTTTTTCGAACGAGTAATCAAAAGTGTCATAAAAGAACATCCATAAAGGGAAATCGTGTAAATTTAATTTCAGTGAAATGGCTTCCACAAAACTCGTCGTAGGCGTTACATGGGTTTCCATGAGTCACACCATGAATTATTAGCCGCACGGGTAGCATCCGCGTTAATTGTTTCTTCCGTGAATTCCGAAAACCACGATTCGGACAAAGTTTCAAGGACGATTCTCATAACGATTAAATTAGGAGCATCGTGGCTAAATCGTGTTTTCACCTATGTCCCATTGTTTCAGGAGATTGTTAAGTAACGATCATGTTTCGATTAAGCATATATTTATAGAAAATTAACAGGTTCTTAAATCGAAATTGTATCTAATTTTTTTTTGTAATTAATTCTTGCAATCAATACTACTTAATTTTCTTGATAATTAAACACGTTTCTTCATAATTATGAATAAATAATATACAGCACTGAAATGAATCATTCGACAATCGTGAGTCACTCGATGTCGAGACCAAGAATAATTCAAACACACGGAAAATAGAAATAACGATTACTATACCCGTGAAATTTATGTCTCTTCCTGGTTCCGAATATAATCGATGATTCACTCGAAATTAAAAAATTATCCTATATCAGGAAAATATTCAATTTTGCGAATTTTTAAAAATTTTATTACTATTTTATTACTTAAACATCACAAATATCCTATATCTCTTAATCAATTAAATTAAATTAATTAATAATCACACATTTATAATATATTTTACATTTATAATTATCCATCTAATAAATAATGGATTCGAACGAATCTCACAGAAATTTGAAAGTAAAGAGAAACACTGTTGAAAATCGTTCGACAGCCGGAAAGCAAGGGGGCACCAGTGTCGAGCTACGTTCTTAATTATTATTATCGTGTGAATCGACGGCAAGGGTAATTATTTCCGTCTACAGTAAACGTTTCCTGCGAAACGAGCTCCAACGAGGGATGGAGCCCAACTTGCACGCGTTACTTCGCCTGGTCAAAAACTTGTTTCATTTAAACTTCTCCGGTTGACGGCATTGATAAGCTCGAAACACTTCCCCCCTCGTTTTTAATTGCTTCCATTCCGATCTCGCGAGAAATTTAAATATTCCGCGATTTTATTGCCAGTAAAAAAAAAAGAGAATTTGGAGCTTTGAAACAATTCTTTACGACTCTCAATCCCTACAATGAAAATATTCTTAACAGAATTCGGATGAAATTTTGAAGAAACATTGGTGAACATCTTATAAAAACTGAAAAGTTATAATGATATTTGATTAAAATCTTATATATATATGTAATGTACTGCAATTATATCTATGATAAATCTTTATAGCTTTTTCAGTTATTTTTTTTTTTTTTTTACATTGATAGAACACTTATTATTGTTGTGCAACATCAATCATCAAATTGTTTCACCGTTTCGCTGTTTTACAATTTAGAGAGACCATTTAAAAATTCCAAACGAACCGCACATCGAGGTAACTCGTTTCGAGATGCCGGAAGACACAATTTTTAGAATTATAATTTCTTTGCATCTCGCCGCGGCCGCTCAAAACTCAATCCACGCTCTGGAGACCGGCGCGGCGCGGCGTTGGAATAAATTTTTAATTTGCGGCCACGCTGGCGTCGACACAGTTTTTTCGCGGCAACAGCTTAATACGTTCCGTTTGAAAACAGCGTTAAGTTCAAAAAGCTGTGTCGCGCTTAAAAACAACACCAAAGAATTCCCTCGCCCCGTGGAAAACCTGTGCCACTCATTTGCTCGTCGCAAAAATGAATTCCTCTTCCTCCCCCCTCCCTCTTTTTCCTCTCCCACCTTTCTCTTTCTCGCCGAAATTAATTTTCATTCCATAAATCTCGCGGCTCGTTCGCGCGTTTTTCAACCGCGACAAATCACAAAAATCCGGAAAATGTGTGTTATCATCAGAATTTCGTGCGTGAAAATGCAAAAAAACGTCTTGTTGAGGAGAAATATCAGGAGGAAAGGAAACGAGATGTATTTTGCGAACGATCTAATAAGTCAACTTCACTTTTTCTTCCAAAATTTAGTTTCTATTTTTACTTTCTTGCGAAGATTAAATGAATTTATATTATATCTAAAGCGAGATTGTAATAATAGAAGGAATAATCTACAACATTTTTTCATTTGCTAATAGTTGCATTTATCAATATGCAATTTTTAATTTCAAAGAAACTGTAACGTTCTAGTTTATTGTTAAATAAAGAAGAATTTGATAGTACTTATTAGATATAAAACCAATCCAATTATAACAACAATAAATATTGTACATATTTTATAATTAATATCAATAATTTACGAGTCTAACATAACCTTATACAATAATATTATTATATTGTATATATAACATAAGATTTTAAGACATTTAATACCCATTTAATAACATTGATAAATATATATACAATCACAGACAATCATAGATCAAAATCGATCAAAACAATCTTAATAATACAATCAATTTAATACAAACAAACAATAAATCATGACAGATAATGCATTTACCATTTCAACCTCCAAAAGACAAATATTCAAATTCTAACAAGAGCGTGCCGTTAACTCGAAAACGTATTGAAAAAAACACGTACCATGGCTCTTTTGTAGAACGCTTATGGTAGCACGTATCGCAAGTTATGTCACGAATTGCATCGGAACAGATTCAGAAATTATTGACACCCGGTACGTGCGCGCAGCGAAGCCCGCCCGCGCAAACAAATGGCGGCCGGTGTGTGCTCTAAGCCAAGCCGGAAGTTGACCGCATCTGCATCTGGAATCGGAGAAACTTTCGAAACGTAAACGAACAGTTATAATTAAACAATTTATCGCTATTGCCGCGGACAAGTTGATTCGGATACTACGTTTTATTTAATTACGCTTGAAACGTCCAACTCCTCCCGCGGTGTCGTCCATTAAAAGTTTATTCTTCCCTTCCCTTCTCTTCGTAACTGCGACACTTCGAACGCGCACACATCGACGAGATTCCGTTAGATTATCATTTAATGCGGATTCGGAAACATCCCCCGTTGGGAAAGGAGATAATGTAATAATTTAGTGAGCGCAATGGATTCGTAAGGATTTCATTATAAGATGATCTTTCTTTCTCTCTCTTTCCGCTTGTGAAATTTTTGTTGAAGAGAGATCGAGAGTGTATGGCATGAGCTGATTGAATTGAGCTGGTAAATTTGATAACAAAAATGTGATAAAATCTTAAGTAATTCATAACAATTATTACTAATTTGTTTTGTATAAAATTGGAAAAATTTTTGCCCAATATTTGATTAATTTTAATGAAATGAAGTTTTGTAGGTAAATTTTAATGTCACTTTGATATTAAACATTATTTATATCTATATTTAATATTAGATTAGTTATTAATATTGAATTATATTAGCTTAATATTACATATTGGATATTAGTTAGTTAAAAATCAATTGTATTGAAGGTTTAATTTAAAAAAATATCCTATTTGGAAGAAATAAAAATGAAGAACAATAATTTTAAATAGATTGCAAATTAAAATAAGAAATAAGTAGTATCACTTCGATTAAATCCTCACTGAACGAACTGATTTTCAAATAATTAACATAATCACGTATAAATTGACACTTGTGAAAAACAAATTCAAAATAAATTAATCGACATCGCACAACAAGGATTATATATGCACAATTAAATCTGAAAACAGATACAAAGAATCTCTCCTGTTTTTTTCTTTTTTTTTATGCACGGAATTTTAAATTTCTCATTGTGTCGCTGTTTCATTTTAATTGCCCTGAAAAGGAAGATAAAATGTATGAAAATACTTGGGCCAAGGATCTGGAAGCGGAGCTCTCTCTCTCTCTCTCTCTCTCTCTCTCTCTCTCTCTCTCTCTCTC